CAAGTCAGCAATGTCGAATAAACGAAAATAATGCACAATCAGATTTCTATAAGAGAAATAGTTTCAAATCGAATGAGGATTTTAAAAAAATTCTTGATGAAATAAAAAATTAGTAGGAGGACCAACGTCCTTGGCGCGGATCAGAAGATGGAGAATTAGATTGATACTAGACAATGAGTTGAAAAACTCCGCGCCAAGAACGTTGGTCCTCCTTCTACTAATTTTTTATTTCATCAAGAATTTTTTTAAAATCCTCATTCGATTTGAAACTATTTCTCTTATAGAAATCTGATTGTGCATTATTTTCGTTTATTCGACATTGCTGACTTGGCTTTCTTTTTCATTCCTTTGTATTTTTCAAAAATTTCTACTTTCCAGTAAGAACCAAACAACACTTTTTCTTGGCGCAGTTTTTTTACAAAAACATGTGTTTTTGTTTTTGTAGGGATCGCATTTACAGTAGATAATTCATAAGATGCTGAGGGAAACGTACAAATAGCCTAGGTATGTTATTACGTCTTCTACAGCGGATGTTCCTAATTTTCCAGTTTATTTTCATCAAAATCGATAGAAGCCCAGAATTTTTCCTCGGCAAAATTTGAACTCGACATCGCTTCCAATCCCTCAGGCCCTGAAATGTGGAGATAGTCCAGATACTCGTTTGATGGGTCCACTCGGGGCCAGTCAATTCCAACGGAGGGCACTCTGAAATCCAAAAAATGATGACCGAATTTATTGGAATTAACTTATTGCAAACATACCCTTTCCGCATGAAAGATTCTATGATGTTCAAGAGAATATTTTGCACGTCTAACGTCGGTTGATCGGTGATAGATTCTAAGCGTGAGTTGGGTATAAATAAAAATACATCATCACCGTGGCTCACACCTAAAAAACGGAATGAAAACGGTACTAAAAATTTTACTCATCAAACACGTAGCGAAGCGGTAAACCGGGTCAAGTCGAATTTGACTTTTGGCCAGTTTTTGATGAAGATCTCGGGAACTAAGAGAGCTAGCAAAATTTTTCTCATGGCCTTTTCTATAACCCTCAATTAGCTCTACAAAAAAGGTCATGACAAAAATTTGTCTATCTCTTTTAGATTACGAGATATTCGTCAAAAACTGGCCAATAGTCAAAATCGACTCAACTTAAGGATGTTTAACCTATCAAGTGAACAACTCAGATGAAAAGAAAAGTAAAATTGACTAAATAAATCATTCATGTTGCAAACAATTTTTCTCATCAAATTAAAAGTGTAATGGCGTACTTTTCCGGTCTGAAAAACAATAATTAAAGAAAATATTCATAGATAATGAAGGACTTGTGACTGCAGTGGTAACAGTCGAACTTTGATCAGGCGACGTCGCACGCTTCGGCTCGTCAAATTTCTGCTACGACTCGCGTAACGAGCGCAGCGCCATTTTTCTCTGACCGCACTTAATTGAAAAATTAATAAAAAAAGATTTAGTGGCCGCAGAACAATAAAACCGGATTTAATGCCACGAGGACAGATTATTTGAGGAACTTCTAAATTGGCATTTCGTGATCATCGATATTTTCACAGTTATCATGAAACGAATGAAAAGGACTGCGCTTTGCTCACAGACGGAGAGAAATATTCAGTAAAAATTACGTATCTTTTCCGTAATTCCGAAGCCAAATGTGGTTGTAGGAAATTGTACGGAACTGTCACGGAATTTTTCCGGAGCGTTCCGTAATTTTTATCTGAATCTCTTGTGAATAATTACGATACCGTCACTTAAATTTTCTGAGTCGATTCCGTAATCGGTGAGTGAATTGTGAATTCCGTAATTTTTATTGAACGAGGGTTAACCTGGTTTACCGCTTCACTACTGAAACCGTCACTGGATGAAATTCGTTCATTTCGAAGCTTACCATAGTTTCCAGTCACATGAAATAAATTGGTCAAACTGATTTTCGACCTGTAACTGTAATAGTAGAACCAAACAGAGCTGCGATTGGCTTTTGCCATTAGCCTGGCACCAAGTGGCGAGAATGATCGATCCCCGTGCATGTGAATAAGTTGCTGAGCCGTTGCAATTTCAATTTTATCACTGCCGAAATAATGTTTTCTAATGGTTGCCGCCACTTGAGCATGTTTCGACTGCGGGATAGTGAAGTTGAAATCGAGTAAATGAGGCGCGATTTCCTCCCATTTTTCATCCAACTTGGCCATTAACTCCTCCTTCTCGAGAAATTCCACGACAGGAAAGAGTCCTTCCTCGGAGACGACGCTCGACGTCCAGGGAACATCAGCGGCATCTCCACTGGCGATGATCTCCACAGGTGATCGATCGATGAATGGCTCCGGTGAGTTTTTCTCCACTACTGGGCCGAATGGAACGTCCGGATTGAACAACCATGGCTGGGGTAGTATAGAATTAAGGAGAGACTACTATGAGTTTTTAAAGTCGGGGGCTATTGGAGTGAGATTTGTCATGAGAGAAAATCTCGTCAGAGTGACATTGAATCGGATTTAGAGACAAAATCGAGGGGCTACTCACTCCATAATTGAGTGACACCATGATTTCGAAATGAAGTCGATTTCGGGTGATTTCGAAAAAATGATTTCGGTGATTTCGAGGTGATTTCGAGGGTCATGGACGGTAATTTCATGATTTCGAATGATTTCATTAATTCGAAATTAGTGATTTCAGGAAAATAAAGTTAATAAATAATAGAGGTAATAATAGAGGGGCAAAACTGGTTGTGTTAAATTATGAAAATCAAAACTAACAATATTAACTGACAAATAATAACGAATTCGTTTGATCCAGCGGTCCATTTTACCATTTTACTATGACAGTGAGTACGGCACTTTATTATTATCGTTGGCAGATGTGTCAATTTCAAAATCACGAATTACTTACACGGTTCGTACTACGCCAGGCCACTACTGATTCCGGTGATTTCATTGATTTCAGAGGATTTCACGTGATTTCAGAGATGATTTTGAAAATAACTTCAGTGATTTCAATGACTTCACGTGATTTCGGAGTGATTTCGAAATGATTTCATACCAGAGTGGCGTCGTGATTTCGGAAGTGAGTAGCCCCTCGGACAAAAAGGTTATGAAATTTCAAGTTTTAAGAAGAATTCACGGAAATTCATAAGTTTTCAGTGAGAGTGAGATGGAAATTTCACAACTTGATTGAATTTTCAGTGGAACATGAATATTCAGAAAAAAAATGACCTAAATTTTCAATTTTTCCCTGAATTTGCCTGATTTTTCTGAATTTTCACAGAATAATTGAACTGAAAAATCTAGTACTTTATTGATTTTCAGATCAATTGAACAGAAAATCAATGAAATATTTGATTTTTCAATGACAATATTTCCTGAAATTTCAGGGGCAAGTTCCACAAATTTTTCCACTAATTATTCTAATTTGTTTTGCACTAATTATTCGCTTTTAGACACATATAATCGATCTTCAAGGCATGAGAAATCTCATTCCAGTAGCCCGCTCCCCTTGAAAGCTCTCAAACTTGATATAATCCAACGGATTGGCCAACGGTTTTACCTGAAAACGACCGACTAGTTGAGTTATGTTTTTAGCGGGTCGTGATTTCAAGCACTCCACCATCTTCTTGGTACTATCCGTTGGACATTCCAGCAGAGATCCCACTTTCTTCCCCTTCTCAAGACTACCTTCAGTCTGCGCCCAATTATCGAGGGCTGTACCACTGAATGACATTCCACCTGCACGAAGAAAAAAGTTATAGAAAAAGTTGGACTATTCCTTTTTATCTGTCATTTATTTTTAGACGCATATAATTTTTCTGTAACGGAGAATGATTTCTTGCCGGACGCAATCGGTAAAATTTCACTTCCGTTCGTACACGGAGAGAAATATTCAATAAAAATTACCAGGAAAAAAACTTAAAAATTACGTTTCGAAACGTAATCTGGGAGCGAAGTAAAATTCAATAAAAAGTGTCAATCCTCACGTAAATTCTACGATCTGTTCCGTAAAAATTACTCATCCGTCCGACGCCTCACGGCTAGCCATGATTCCCCGTGAGGGGGAGATTTTAACAACACGTTCCGTAATTTTTCCGGAACTTTTCGTAAAAATTCTTAAACATCCAAGAATTTTTATCTTCTGAAGCATAATAAGTCTTGAAGTTTCTGTTAGATTTTACAACTTCCAGAAAAATTACGTGACTTTTTCGTATTTTTTCGGTGACAGACCCGAAAATTTACTGAACGTTTCAGATTTATTCTCTTATATTCCTATAGAAATTCACTGAAAACGATTCTCGCTTGCGGATTACGTGAAATGTTCCGTAATTTTTCTTGAATATTTCTCTCCGTGTATATAATAAAATAAAAATAGGTGCAAATAAAAATAACCGGCCGGTGCGGAAAATTGTACTGTACAATAGGGTAATTTTTGCATCTATAGATGTGTTTTTTTACCGAACGAATGGTAAAATATCCTCCACAAACAGGTATTTTATCACTAAATTACATCGCGCTCTACGATTACCTTTCGTACAGTAAAATTTACCACAATTTTCTAGATAATTTTTATCCAACATTTCTCTCCGCGTGTTCATGACCGGATCCATCCATGCCAGGATAAAATTTTTACCTTGGAAAAGGCCACGACTCATGGGACTCAGATAGTGGTAATGAGCACTAGAACCTCCAGCACTCACTCCGCCGATAGTAACTCGATCGGGATCACCACCGAAGTATTTAATGTTCTCGTGCACCCACCGCAGCGCCAGATTCTGGTCCTTCAGACCCATGTTCCCAGGGACAACTGCATCCTCAGTGCTCAGAAACCCTGATTCAATGTCATTAACACTGCTCCGTAATTTTTCAAATCAGTAGCGAAGTCCTCAAACAATTTAAGTCAATTTACTCTTTAGTTCAGTTTTCGGGAAATATTTCCGAATTTAAGGGAGATAGCAAAATTTTCATAATGACCTTTTTTGTAGAGCGAATTGAGTGCTACTAAGAAGGTTGTGAGACAAATTTTGCTATCTCCCCTAGATTTCGAGATATTCATTGAAAACTGGCCAGTAGCCAAAATCGACTTGAACCGTCTGACCACTTCGCTACTGATATTGCAGTAGAGGCTTCGTATAAGGTACTTTATACAGTAGGACAGTAGGAGAGTGGACTTCCGGGATGAATTTGAATGAAATGAATGAATTTTCATTTTTACTGAATGAATATCGATAGCTAATCAATTCATGTATTTAATGTTTTGAATTTGTATCGCCCGCATTCCCTTTTCTCTCTAAACATAACCCCGCGTGATAGAGTGGCAACTGATGTTGGGGGATTGTTGATGGACTCGAGAATAATCACAGACGAAAAATTACGATTTATCGATGGGAAAAGTGAAAATAAAATCGATGTATATTTCCATTACTTGAAAAAAGTGGTGTGATCCCCCCTTAAGGTCATTAGACCCTCATGATCACTTCGTTCGTCCCTCCCGTTTGACCCTTAACACCGTTTGATCCTTATAACTACTCTCTTCCCGTTGAAAATGACTGGGGCCATAGGTATCTTATAAGAAGCCCACGGAACATAAACATTCGGGAGGCAATAAAAGTGCCGAGAGTGGGGGCAGCTCTCGAGCGCTCGGAGCGCGAGGTATCTTATACGAAGCCTCTACTGTATTTGCCACGAAAAATAATTACCTAGAATATTCAAACGATAATTAAAATTCACGAAGACCAAGTCTCGATTCATGAGGTACGATGAACCCTGACCATGGCCGTCTCCGGATTGGAAGGATCCGCCGTAGATCCAGAAAAATACTGGCAGTAGTTTGGACTTATTTTTCGGTGTCTTGGAAGGAGTGTAGATGTTCAGGTACAGACAATCCTCGCTTCCGATTACTTGTTGGGGTAATTTCAAAGACGCGGGTAAGTACTGTACGCATGCACTCCGAGGTCCGGTTGCCTGCAATGTCCCTTCCCACGAACCAAAACGCTGAGGTGGCTGTCATTAATTTTAAAAATTCTTTATTTTCAATATATTTCGTTCATTGATTCAATTAATTAATTGATTGATTAATTAATTTTTATGGGAATCTAAACTAATCTAATTAATCAATTTTTATGATTTTCTGAGCGCGTGAAATAAAAATTCAATATTTGGAACATATTTACTCGAGACTGTAATATTTCAATTATTTAGATAATATTATTATTCAATTTTTAAAAAAATGAATAAGATTATGAAAATTATAAATGCGTTACCTTGCAAAATTTAATTTACTTTTTAATAATCAATGTGGACGATTTTCCTTTACGTGCTTTTAATATAAAAAAATATGAGGACGTCTTTGGGCTCGTCGTCAGCGTGCTGGCCCTATAAACCAAAGCGTCCCAGTAGCGCAGGTTCGAGTCCCGGTGATGAAAGATTTTTTCATCGCCGGACAACGAACCCAGTGCATGTGGAGTTAGTTATGTGGAGTTAGATATAAGTTTAGAGGCAAGTGCGGGTAGGGAATTAGGCTGGGGTACCGCGTAGGTACTGGGACGGGTAGGTAAAAGACCACAACGGTCATACCATCTGGCACCACCCAATTTTTATAAAAAAATATTGTTTTCAAGTACAATATATTATTTTATTTTTTATAGTAACTTAAACAGGACAAAACATTACTCCAATTTAATTGATACAATTACTCAAAGCTTCAAATGACAAAATGATAAGAAAAGTAATTGACTGGCCGGTCATGTCAGAGGTTGATTTTGAATAAAATTTTGAATATGAATAAATTTGTTACGATTCCGAACAAATGATTTTTCTGGTGGAAATGCTCGTAATTTTCAAAAATTGCCATTTTTCAATTATTTTGTTATTCTTCCTGCAAAAGTAAACATAATTTTTTTTCAGACATCTAAAACGTCTTCTAACGGTTCAATATCAAGATACAAATTCAGACCTGCAGAGTTTGAATAATAAAATCATTGTAAAATTTTCGGAACCTCAGGCCCAGATGGAAGCTCTGATGTTCGACTACAAAAGTAGAAAAGCATTTCATTGGAGAAAAAATAGCCAAAGTACTCGGATATTCTTGAGCCATTGAAAATAATTTATTTCTCTCATTAAACAGAGTCAACACATTAGGAAATTTTTCTCTTAATGTAAAATACAATTTCCTACCTCAAATCTCAGGTCTCCCACTGGCGATTTTCCGTATGGAATTCCCTCGAACGCCCTGTAACTACGCCCGTAACTACTTGTTTTATAGAAACCTTGGACGTTCCCTAACGGAGTGTTGACCAGCAGATCTGATTTTTTGGCACACACCGCATTCGTGAAATGAATTAATAAGAAAACCTTCAGAAATGCTGACATCGTGTCTGATGCTACTCCACGCGGATATTTTTTTTTTATTCCACATCGGTTTATTGACTACCAGATCTTGTCGACGTGTATTGAGTTGTCGCTTGTTCAAACAAACGCGATAGCTATTATTTCAATTGGTGGAGGTCGCACTTATCGAACGCAATTATTATATACTTACAAAGAAAAGAGATCGTTATCTTTGTCATTAAAATCTGATGAGGGGCAAAATCTTTCGCTGTCCAAGTTTGAAGGGCGCGGCTGACGTCTTGTCAAATTTTCAAACAATTAAATCTCTGAATTGTTTTAAAGCCCGGGTGGATTATCTTTCGAACGTGATCTTGGTTGTTTTTTTTATTTTGAAAGTCTGAAATGATCACCAATTGCTGCTCAGTTTTACGTACACGCATGAAAAAATTCAATTGAAAACATTGCGAATTCGCTAGAAAATTTTATTGCAATTCTATAGGATTTCTATTGGAATTCTATTGAATAATTCTATTTGCTTTTTGCGCTGATTCTATTGGATATTCGATAAGAAAACGTCAATAGATTTCGAATTTCTATTTGGAATTTTCTCTTGAGATTTTTTCTATAAGAATGCTTGGATCAATTTGCTAAGTTTTTTCCACTGGGAGGATTGAAATCATGATGTAATTCGAAATTAATGCCTTTTTAATTCGAAGTCAATGGATGATATCACTGGAGATACGGAGAAACAATAAAACTATAGTTTTGTAGAAATTCGGTTTATTTTTTTCTTGTTTTTTAATAATATTTTTAACTGCGAGCATATATCAGTAGCGAAGTGGTAAAAGGGCTTAACTGCATTTTTTTCGAAATTCGTAATATTGGGGGAGGGTGGGGTAAAATGGACACTTTTTGCTTTTTTAAAAATATTTCTCAGTCAGAAACAGATTTATCAATTGAGCTCAGTCTAAACTCGTCACAAAGGGGAAGAATTGTCCTTTCAATTGAAAAATAAAATTATTTTATTTCATGAACAATTCAACACGTCATGAACATTTTAAAAAAAGTCAAAGTGTCCATTTTACCCGCCCCTTCCCCGGTATTACCATTTGAAAATTAATATTTCATTGTGATTCACGCAAAAAGTTTTATTTTTTTTTAAATGCACTTATCTCCTTTTACCACTTCGCTACTGATATTATCGTCGGTATAAAAAAAATAGAAAAATTCTGAGTTTCACACGTTTTGCAGTTTATTCTCATCAAAATCCAGCGACGACCAGAATTTTCTTTCAGCGAAATTTAAGCTCGACATAGCTTTCAATTTTCCAGGCCCCAAAATGTGGAGATAATTGAAATACTCTTGTGATGGGTCTACCGTGGGCCAGTGGATTTCAGGCGGGGGTGTTCTGAAATGTAATGACATTAAGAAAATTGGATATCTAAGAAATATCAAGCCATTCGGCACCTACCCCCACTTCATGAAGGATTCTATAATATCCAGTAGAGTATTTTGCACATTCAAAGTTGGTTCATCCGTAACCACTGGTAATCGAGGGTTAGTGATGATTAGATTGTAGTCATCGCCGTGACTCACACCTGAAAAATAGGATGATTAGATTTTTCACTAATTTTTTCATTCAGTTATCATTCGATGACATAAGAGAACAAATTCAATTAAAAATCTCATCGAATTCGATTGGACATTCGGTTTGCCTTCCGTCGATTCTATTGAAGAATTCGGCAGATTTTTTGCGCGTCCTGTTTATAGAAAATCTTTAATAGAAACTATTAAAAAAAACATCAATAGAATTTCATCTTTCTGTACACTTTTTCTATTGAGACATTATCTCCAGAAAAAATCAAACAAAAAAACTTTGAGGAGAAATTTAAGCCGATGAATTTCTATGAAAAGTATAGAAATCCAATAGAATTTTTTAGTGAATTCGCTACACTGAGAGAAAAATTTCCTAATACATAGACCATATTTACTTGAGAGAAGTAAATTATTTTCAATGGTTTCACAATTTTTTTTCATTCAGTTATCATTCGATGACATAAGAGAACAAATTCAATTAAAAATCTCATCGAATTCGATTGAACATTCGGTTTGCCTTCCGCCGATTCTATTGAAGAATTTGGCAAATTTTTTGCGCGTCCTGTTTATAGAAAATCTTTAATAGAAACTATTAAAAAAAAAATCAATAGAATTTCATTTTCTTGTACACTTTTTCTATTGAGACATTATCTCCAGAAAAAATCAAACAAAAAACTTTGAGGAAAAATTTAAGCCGATGAATTTCTATGAAAAGTATATGCATAGAATTCCAATAGAATTTTTTAGTGAATTTGCTACACGGAGAGAAAAATTTCCTAATACATAAACCATATTTACTTGAGAGAAGTAAATTATGTTCAATGGTTTAGATCTCATCAGACTGTTTGTGGTTCACGGAGCTCAAATTAATTCTCATTTATCACTATCGTTGCGCATTATATCATGAATATATTACATATCGAAATATTGGAACTGCATAACAAAAAAATTATGAAAACAATAAATACTTGAAGATGACGATTCTTCTATGCGATTTGAGTGAGTTCATTTACGACAAAATCATACTTGATTACAAGAATATTTTAAAGCATGAGACCTTTCTCTCGGGCCACGTGAGATGAGATGAATGGGAGAATTAAACGATTGAAGAAAAATTACTTGTCTCAAGAAAATATGTTTTAGATATTAGAATTTTTTTCTCCGTGTTGGTTGTTCTACAAGTTTGTGCCCTCAAATAAATTCTCATTTATATACTATCGTTGCGCATTATATCACGAATATATTACATATCGAAATATTGAAACTGCATAACAAAAACATTATGAAAACAATAAATACTTGAAGATTCTCGAAAAAGGTCTCACGCTTTAAAATATTCATGTATTCTTGCACTCAATTGCAGCAAAATTACTTGTCTCAAGAAAATATGCTTTAGATATTAGAATTTTTTTCTCAGTGTGGGTTGTTCCACGAGTTTGTTCACACATAAATGAAATTCTCTCATTCCGAAACTTACCGAAGTTTCCAGTTACATTAAACATGTCAGTCAAGCTGAATGTATTCCTGTAACTATAGTAATAGAACCTAATGGGACTGTAAGTGTTTTTGGCCATCAGCATAGCAGCGTTCGCAGCATCTGCCGTAAACAGCCGATCCCCAATCATGTGAATGAGACGTTCGGCAGTCGCTCTTTCAACTCTATCACTGCCTAAGTAATGTTCTCTGATGGCGGCAGCGACTTCAGCATGTCGGGACTTTGGGATAGTGAAGTTGAAGTCGAGTAAATGAGGCGCGAGTTCCTCCCATTTTTCATCCAACTCTGCCATTAATCCCTCGTTCTCGACGAATTCCACGGCAGGGAAGAGTCCCTCCTCGGAGACGACGCTCGTTACCCAGGGGACAGGGGCAGCACTTCCGCTGTCGATGATCTCCACAGGTGATCGATCGATGAACGGATCTGTCGAGTTTTTCTCCACCACTGGACCAAATGGGGTGAAGGGATTCATCAACCATGGCTGGAGAGTAATACATTCAGACAATTTTAAGATATAATTTTTTCGTACTGATCTTCACTTTTCCTCGTCCGGGGATTGGTATTGGTCTTTCCCCAAACTCGTAAAAGTGAAAATCACTACGAAAAAATACCGTTCGCGGCTAATGCCGTGGGGTATTTTCACTCGCGTGATTGGCCAGTCCTCGCCTTCAGCTCGGACGCCAACGAGCGAGAGCGAGCGGAGGGAGCGAAGCCTCCCGGATTGGCGAGCGGAGGGAGCATGGGGCGGAGCCCCCTAGTCCTTCATAACATTCTGCATCATTTATAATCAAAAAGGGCGTGAAATCCACTGACTATCGGCGGATTTTCCCTCATTGTTTTTCTATCCTACGTTATATCGGATAATTTTACCTGAAATTGTTGGGTCAATGCAACTATGCCCGTTGCAGGTCGAGATTTCAAGCACTCCACCATGTCTCTAGTGTTATTCGTTGGGCATCCCTGTAAAGATGCCAGTTTCCTCGCCTTCGCAGCACTCTCTTCAGTCTGTGCCCAACAATTGAGGGTAGTGCCACTGAATGACATTCCACCTGTTCAACGATAGTAATGAAAAATGTGGGACCCAGAAAACAATTTTTGCCAATGCCATCTAAAATTTAACAGGACATCGGCAATTTGTCGACAAATTGTCGACATACTGTTTGCTGGGGAGTTATCGGAGGTCAAAGTTGCGGGTGAAAATTGTACCTCTAAAAAGGCCAGAACTCTTGGGGCTCAAATAGTGGTAATGAGCACTGACACCCCCAGCACTTCCACCAGCGATAGTGATCCGTGCGGGATCGCCACCAAAGGACATAATGTTGTCGTGGATCCATCGAAGGGCTAGATTCTGGTCCTTCAGGCCCATGTTGCCAGGCACAATTGCATCTTCAGTGCTCATAAATCCTGAGATAACATATTGTTTTCCCTATTCATTCTTAATTTCATTTCGAAGTTAACGAACTCATGTGCGAAAAAAAAATTCATAGAAAAGTCTAGTGAATTCCCTGGAAAATTTCACTATGGATTTCGGTTGAACTTTCTATAAATATTCAATTGAAAAAATTGATAAAATACGATTCTTCTATACAACGTTTTCTATTGAGATATTTTTTGGAGAAATTCCTCGGTGTAAATCTTTTATGATTTTTTAGTAAAAGAGAAGAACAATTGAATGGAATAAACTTATGAAATTCACGTCGAGGAATTTCTCTGAAAATGTCTCAATAATCAGTGAAGTTCTACTGGTTTTTCCTATGAAATTTTTTCATACGTGCACATTTATTTCAGTTAAAATATTTGAATGATCTAGATGAAACGGATAAAATATTTAATTATTTCAAACAGACGATATCTTCGTATTATTTTTTTTCCATGGGAAAGTATTTATTAATTTGCTGCGGATGAACCAGATTTACCTAAAATGCCCAAACGATAATTGAAAGTCACGTAGATCAAGTCTCGATTCATAATGTACGATGACCCCTGAGAATGACCGTCCAAGAATTGGAATGCTCCCCCGTGAATCCAGAAAAACACTGGAAGTAGTCGGGATCCCTTTTTCGTTTCATTTGAGAGAGGAGTATAGATGTTTAGGTATAAACAGTCCTCATTTCCCACTACTTTTCCAGGATACCCTGCCCCAAGCACGTACTGTGTGCACATGCTCTTAGGCTTGGTTGCCTTCAAAGTGCCCTCCCAGGAACCGAAGGGTTGCGGCGGCTGTCGTGGAGAATTCAATTTGATAAATGTAGTTTCGTTGTGTTTTTTATTTTGGGGCGTGTCAGAAAATATTTGAAATTTCATGGATAGTTGACTAGTAATTTTGAAGAGAGTGTCATTGAAGTCTATTCACTTCATGAAAATTTAATGAAATTCAAAATTTCAGAACAGCAAAAAGACTAGAATTTTCAATTCATTTGAATTTTAAATAATAACAAGAACATTCAAAACCACATTGCGTATAGATTTTAAATATATTTACCTGAATTTTCCTGATTTCTATTAATTATTTGAGGAATAATGGAATTAAAATTTACAGTTTCCATGGATTGTTCTATAAAATTTAGAATTTCCATTGTCGAAATTCACTAAAATTTCTGTGGAACTATAATGTAATAAACATTCCCAAAAAATGCACCGGGAATTCCAAGCACGTCGAAATCCTGTCTGTATTCCGTTTAATTTCCCTTTCAAAAAAATCTATCCTAACCACGAGAAAAATTCAAAAAATGTTGATTCTTCTACTCTATTTTTCAGTTCATTACTTCAAATTTCTTGTGATTACCTCAAATCTCAAGCTATGCACTGGCGGTTGGGCATATGGAATCCCCTCAAATGCTCTGTAACTGCGGCCGCGGCTACTAGTTTTGTAGAAACCTTCAACATTTCCTACCCGAGTGCTAACGAGCAGACCCGATTCTTCGGCAAAAAGACTACTCGCCGAGCTGATGAGTAAGAAAACTGTCAAAGTGCTCGCCATGATTTCCGACGGTCGACCACAAACGTGTAGTGCCTCAAATCATCTGCATGCCGTTTTATATCTTCTGCTTTATTGATATTAGATTATTTCGCAGCGTTGCCATCCCTCCCGCCCTACCTCTTTCCCACAGAAATCACCCATTTCTTGATGAATTCGACGTTTTTCGTACGTCATAGTATATTTCGTAACGAGTGCAAAAAAATGTTTTTTGGCGAGTGGGAGGTTTATATAATCCCACGAGCTAAAAAACATTTTTTCACGAGTTACGAACAATATTTTTCATCACAATGCGGCGGAAATTGAACTTTTAGGCACGCGGAGTTCACTTTTCGTCACAGCGTGATGAAAATTAATTATTGTCTCGTAAAAAAATTTCGTGATCTCCGAGAATCTTTTTTGCTTCTGAATGGAAGAATTATTGTCCATTCTTCCAATGTCTTGCGCACCATCATTCCCGCCATTTTCGTAGTGCTTAATGTCGATTTACATTCTGCACGGAGAGAAAAATTCAATAAAAATTACCAGAAAAAAAAACGTAAAAATTGCGGTTCGAAACGTAATGCGCGAGCGAAGTAAAATTCAATAAAAAGTGTGAGTCGCAACTAAATTCTACGATTTGTTCTGTAAAAATTAATAACCACCCGTCTGATGACTCACCGCTGTGGGGACAAGTCGTTTCGTCATTTTTCCTCAACGATTGAGAAATTTTACGGAACGAAACGTAGAAATAACTCACCAGCTTCATAAAAATTGTTGAATGTTCAAGAATTTTTTATTTTCGAGGCATAATAAGTCGGAAAGTTTCTGTAAGATTTTACTTCTTCGGGAAAAATTACGTGACAATTTCGTACTTTGTTCGATGCACGGAGAGAAATGTTCAGTAAAAATTACGGACCTCACAATTCACTCACCGATTACGGAATCGACTCAGAAAATTTAAGTGATGGTATCGTAATTTTTCACAGGAGATTCAGATAAAAATTAGGGAACGCTGCGGAAAAATTCCGTGACAATTCCCTAAAATTTCCTACAACCACTTTTCGCTTCGGAATTACGGAAAAGATACGTAATTTTTATTGAATATTTCTCTTCGTGTGATGAACCTGGAAATTCACTGAACGTTTTAGATTTCTTCTCTTCCATTCCTATAAAAATTGCCGGAAAACGATTCTCCACTGCGGATTACGTGAATTGTTGCGTAATTTTTACTGAATATTTCTCTCCCTGCATTATTTTATTTTTCTCCCATTTCGAGGGGGCGAAATGGGCACTTGATTTTTTGTTTTACATGTAAAAACTTCATTTAATTGTTGATGAAATGGATTTTTTTTCCTCGGAGAATATACTTCTCAATTTATTCCTGAGTTATGGATATTCTGAAAAATAGTGGAAATTTCCGTTTTGCCCCACTTTCCCCTGATTATTGAAGGGGAAGGGGAGGGAGAGAAATTTCGGGGAGGACCTGGCAACGCTGTTATTTCAGTATTAACGAAAACGCAAATAGGTTGTGCGAATAAAACATCGCTTATCTGGTGAACTCGATAATTTATTCAAAGAAAGTAGCTCTGTTCTGTTTTCTGATGAAAGTTATCTCTCAGACGAATACTTAATTAGCAAAGAAATGATGAGGCTTGAAAAATTTAATGGGAAAACAATTCTATTCGATTTTTATTAGAATTCTGTCTAAATCGTAGTCGGAATTCTGTTCGTTTTTTCTCATTTCTGACAGAGAAATAGTTCATAGACTACTGTCAATCAATGGAAGAAGCTTTTTCCACTGCATTTTGTTTCGCTCTTCATTGTAAAATCAAAGAAAAAATAATTAGAAAAGTCATGCCCAAAACTTCTCATAAAAGTGAATAAATTCACTTCTCGTAAAAGTGAATACAATTCACTTTTACGAGAAAAGTGAAAAGAAGAAAAATTTCTTCTCTTCATCGGAAATTCCGGAGTGAAATATGAAAATTTTACGGAACTGTCACGGAATTTTTCCAGAGCGTTCCGTAATATTTACTGAACATTTCTCTTCGTGTTTCTTGAAATAATTCTTGAGCTCCTTATACTAAACGTACGAAAAAATGTCATAGAAAAACCTAGCGAATTAGTTAGAAAATTCTATTTCATTTCTATTGAATTTTCTATCAGTTTTTAACAGGTTATGAGGGATTATTTTGCAGCCTATCTGCAGATTGTTTTTCTAAAAGGAATATTTTTTGGAAAATGTTCTATAAAAAAAATTAATGGAAATCGGGTTGTCTACACAACTTATTCTACTGAGATATATTCTAATATATTAATTCCCCGCCCCTTATTTTCCAAGTTCTTTTGTTTGATTTTTTAAGGATGTTCGACACCCTTTTAGCCAAAATTGACGTTGTTTTCATTTTTCTGGCAAATTATCGATGGGAGTGACGTGAAAAAATATAACGATTTTGTGGTTTGTCATTCTTTAATGGCTCACGAAGTTGCGTAGTGGTGCGATAATTTTCATGCGTTTTTTCTACAGTTTTGTGATTCTTTTTAAAAGTTTAGAGAAAACGCAGGAAAATGTTCGCACCACCTTAAAATTTCGTCAGTCATTAAATAATGACAAAACGCAAAAACGTTATATTTTTTCACGTCAATTCCATCATAAGTTTGCCAGAAAAATTAAAAAAACGTGAATTTTGGCAGAAAGGGTGTAGAACATCCTTAATGGAAAGATGAGAAACATAGAGTGGAAAAAGTTATAAAATTTATGGCGAGGAATTTCTCTGAAAACGTCTCAATAGAAAAACAACGTCCCAATAAAATTTCTCGTGCCGACACTGGAATTTTTTCCTAGCCGTCACTTTGCGCGTCTTTTCCCGCGCTAGCACTAGAATTTTTCTAAAAAATTTCTCTCCGTGCAGACAAAAATTTTCAACAGTGTATCCGTTGCAGTAAAAAATCCCCCAAACCCCTAAAGAGTATCGTGAAGCCATATATATTTAACCGCACGGTAGGCGGCCAAGCATTTCGGTTCGACTCTATTAATAGGATTTTTGAACGTTTCTAGACTTTACTCTGGCTACATACGTGAATGCTCGACACAAGAGTGCTCAGACCTATTGAATCGAGCCGAGAGCGTAGATTTTTCAATTGAACTCAGCGGGAATCAGTAAAAATGTCTGGCGAGGACATTTGCGCTGTGTGTCAGCAGCCGGCACAACAAAAGTGTAGCGCTTGCAAGCTCGTATTTTATTGTAGTCGTGAGCATCAAAAGTGTCACTGGAAGGAACATGCGAGCTACTGTCGACCCTTTAAAGTATGTGTGTAAGCGTGGACAGAGGACATTCTCCATTTCAGTACTGAGACGCATGAGTGTGATTTTTCTAGATCGATAGAGATGACACTCTCGGTAGGCACTACATCGCGACGAGGAAGATCGAAAAGGGAGAGGTGATTCTGCGGGAAAGGACACCTCTAGTGGCCGGACCTCCTGTGGAAACTCCGCCGGTTTGCCTTGGGTGCTATGGCATCTTGCAGGCTGACAATGCCAAACCTTGCGACAAGTGCGGATGGCCTTTGTGTGGGGCGTGCCAGGGGCACGGGGGGGAATGCCAGTTTACCACACAATTTCGGGATTCTAAGGTATTGGAAAAAATTTTGACGATTAGTGATAAAAATAAATTGAAAGCTCGCGGAGGGTTATTGACGCCCAATTCAATTTCCGGGGCGAACAACAGAGTGTCGGATTTCACGGCAAATTTTATGGCATTTTAATTCAATTTCAATAAACTGGATTTTTGAGAATTAATTTTTTGGCTGAATTTTTCTGATTTCTATTAATTTTGAGGGAGTAATGCAGCGAAGCGGTAAACCGGGTCAAGCCGATTTTGACTATTGGCTAGTTTTTGACGGATATCTCGGAATCTAAGAGAGATAGAAAATTTTTTGTCATGACGTTTTTGGTAGGGCCAACTGAGGGTTATAAAAAAGGTCGTGAGCAAAATTTTGGGGCCACCCAATTGCGGGATTCTAAGGTATTGGAAAAAATTTTGACGATTAGTGATAAAAATAAATTGAAAGCTCGCGGAGGGTTATTGACGCTCAATTCAATTTCCGGGGCGAACAACAGAGTGTCGGATTTCAGGGAAAATTTTATGGCATTTTAATTCAATTTCAATAAACTGGATTTTTGAGAATTAATTTTTTGGATTAATTTTTCTGATTTCTATTAATTTTGAGGGAATAATGCAGCGAAGCGGTAAACCGGGTCAAGCCGATTTTGCCTATTGGCTAGTTTTTGACGGATATCTCGAAATCTAAGAGAGATAGGAAATTTTTTGTCATGACCTTTTTTGTAGGGCCAACTGAGGGTTATAAAAAAGGTCGTGAGCAAAATTTTGATCACGACCTTTTTTATATCCACCCAATTGCGGGATTCTAAGGTATTGGAAAAAATTTTGACGATTATTGATAAAAATAAATTGAAAGCTCGCGGAGGGTTATTGACGCTCAATTCAATTTCCGGGGCGAACAACAGAGTGTCGGATTTCAGGGAAAATTTTATGGCATTTTAATTCAATTTCAATAAACTGGATTTTTGAGAATTAATTTTTTGGCTGAATTTTTCTGATTTCTATTAATTTTGAGGGAATAATGCAGCGAAGCGGTAAGATATCTCGGAATCTAAGAGAGATAGAAATTTTTGTGTCATGACGTTTTTGGTAGGGCCAACTGAGGGTTATAAAAAAGGTCGTGAGAAAAATTTTGGGGCCACCCAATTGCGGGATTCTAAGGTATTGGAAAAATTTTTGACGATTAGTGATAAAAATAAATTGAAAGCTCGCGGAGGGTTGTTGACGCTCAATTTAATTTCCGGGGCGAACAACAGAGTGTCGGATTTCACGGCAAATTTTATGGCATTTTAATTCAATTTCAATAAACTGGATTTTTGAGAATTAATTTTTTGGCTGAATTTTTCTGATTTATATTAATTTTGAGGGAATAATGCAGCGAAGCGGTAAACCGGGTCAAGCCGATTTTGCCTATTGGCTAGTTTTTGACGGATATCTCGGAATCTAACAGAGATAGAAAATTTTTTGTCATGACGTTTTTGGTAGCGCCAACTGAGGGTTATAAAAAAGGTCGTGAACAAAATTTTGCTATCTCGCTTAGATTCCGAGGTATTCATAAAAAATGGCCGACACTCAAAATCGAATTAACTCGGTTTAGCGCTTCGCTACTGAATGGGACTGAAATATACAGTTTCCATTGATTTTTTCATAGAATTTTGAATTTGTAATGACAATATGCATTAAAATTTCAGTGGAATTTTAATTAGGGATAGCCGAATTTTTAATATTTAATTACCGTTAAATATTGTGGCCATCAATTAGTCAATATAACTCTTGAATTTTTTGAATACTTAAGTATCATCAATTCAAATATTCAAATTTTTAATTTTTGTGATTGATGATTATTTGTGTAATCGAAAATTCCCTTTTAAGAACTTTGAATTATTCACTTAGTAATAAATTTACAGTTTCATATTAACAAATTTTAAATACATCATTATTTGCAAAAATCAGATTATTAATATTATATTATTTGAAAAATTAGATCAACACATTTTAAACCTTCATTAATGTAACGGGCAAATTCTTGTAGCATTACAGAAATTTAATATTGATGAGGAACCCTGATTTTAACGTATTAAAATTTTCGAGAAAAGTGTACCGACAATTTCGGACAAATATTCTTAAAATTCTAGTTGAAGCTACTCAAATAATTTCATGAGACTATCCACAATCACTGTTAGAACTATAACAATCACTGGAAAGAATTCGAAATTTGACTAATAATTTTCAAGAGAGAACCATTGAATTTTACTTAAAGGGAAAGAAATTGTGGGATTTCAGAATTTACGCGGATTTTCAATCAAATCATCAATATTCAGGACCAAATCACGTAGAATTTTCAATTAATTGGAAATTTGAGACTATATTTAACTGAATTTTTCTAATTTATGTTAATTTTCATGGAAAGATGTCACTGAAATTTACAGTTTCCATTGATTTTTCTATGAAATGTTAAATTTTTAACGATAATATTCATCGAGATTTCAGTGGAACTATACAGTGGATATTTCATATGAATTCGCTGCTCTAAGATTTCAGTTGGAGAAGTTCACTCCCCCCCCCCCCC